TATTAAATAATATTGGTACAAAAAATCAAATTTATTTTCCAACATTTCAATTTCAAGTTACATCAAAATTCAGCTGTCCTTCACAATGACTTATACATTTTTCAATGGTAGCTAAATTCCGAGGTTATTCGTGGAGGAAGACCTCATATACATCTCTGTTTCATTCCTTGTATTACGAACAGGCACCTGAATAGAGCCACCAACGTTTCATAAGCTAGCTGGATGGCTTTCTCACATTGTTTGTTTCATTTTACGCCTTTTCCCAACAGTATTTCAGTCATATAGGCGGGTAGTTTCCTAACCATTGTTCCTGGAGAGTTACATCAGTACTAGACTACCTTCCTCCGTGCTAAACTACCAAAGATCTCCACTTTCTCACATGAAAGGATCCAAAATCACTGACAGTATTCAAACCCACAGCAATGAAGGACGAGTGGTTTGAAGTCAACAATCTTAACCACTTTGACCACTTAGTCAATGCCTGGTCACTGATTAAGTGATTAAGAATCACTTAGTCTTCATTGCTGTATATTTGAATTACTCAATAACATTGAATTTTGTGTATGGTTGTTTATTTGTCCAGTTTTAAGTCACACCATTATTTTAAAAGTGGATGAAGACCACAGGTTCTCCTTAGATTGCATATCATTTCAGGCTATAGTGGGCACCTGAGTTAAGCAATTCAACTTATATCTTAGTCTAGCTTGATAACTTCCTCACATGGATGAATCCAGAGTCCCTGATGGGATTTAAATTTACAGTGGTGATGGGCAAGTGATTTGAGGCAGGCAAACTTTACCACTGTCCTGGCCACAGAGGTCCCAAATTTATGTAATCTAAGATGGGTGACTTACAGACAGTATATTTATTATGTAATACACTTGTGTTTGTAGTCTGTTTGAGTATTACACCACATACACACTGAAAATGAGTTATGTGATGAAGCATTTTGTCATGATAGCTGATTAAATATTTGTTAGAAAAAAATTCTAGGTACATGTTTTTTCAGAAACATGTCGAGTAACAATGTTTAAATAGTTATTGTTATAGCTTGTAGCCTGGCAACAGTGGTTACAACAGTGGTATCATTTAATATTCAACATTATAGTACTTCAAGTGTAATGTGTTCTGTTTTGATTGTCTTCTAACTAGACACTTGTTAAATATTTCAAGGAAAATGGCAACTTTAGCCTTGTGGAACAATCTCATTCAGTATGCATACAGCTGTGGATTTCTCACTGTAACATTGAAACACTGGGTTGTATTCAAGAAAATGAGAAATTTATGGAAATAGGGGTAAAACTGATTTAATTTGTGGGGGTAATCAAATCTGCATGGCATCTCATTTCTGAGAACAGCAAGATTTTCCTGAGGCAAAGAGTTAAGCTCTTTTGGAGATAAAATAATCGTAAAATAGAGATCGGAGTATATTACCTTTTAATTTCACATTTTCTGCTTGCCAGTTACAGAACAAATTATAATACTTCATATAAAAATATCATCTAGGAACACTAGTTGATTAAAAAAAAAAAAAAGAATGTTTTGAATGAAATAACTGAATTATTAATTATTACTTTCACATTCAGAACAATCGTCAAGGTCATTCAACACATTAATAACTAATTATATAACTTAATTAGAATTTTTTCAATAATTCCTATTATAAGCTAACATATGTTTAATAGTAATAAAGGTTTCTAAGAAACTGGGTCATATTTTATTTAGAAGTACTTTAATGCTCTTGATTTCTGACTTGTTGCCATAATAAAATACACTCCTAGTTTAACTGCATACTATATTAAAAATAGAATAATAATACTTTTGTTACTATATATAGTAACAAAATTGTCTATGATTTCAACTGATTATGAGTGTATAATAAAGGTTTCTAAGAAACTGGGTCATATTTTATTTAGAAGTACTTTAATGCTCTTGATTTCTGACTTGTTGCCATAATAAAATACACTCCTAGTTTAACTGCATACTATATTAAAAATAGAATAATAATACTTTTGTTACTATATATAGTAACAAAATTGTCTATGATTTCAACTGATTATGAGTGTCACTTGACAGATTATCAGTTTGCAGCCCGCCCAGGCCTATAACTGATAATTGTAATCAGCCGCAGAACATGTGTACGTGCACACTCTCACGTCACATTTTACGTCATCAAAACAGCTTGCTGTAAAAGTGAAAGTAGGTTTTTAGCACAAATAGCTTGATTTTATGTTGAGAACTTTAAGCATAATTTGTACAAACACAGTTTTATTGAAATTTACAGTAAAGAATATAAATACGGCAATTTCATTCAAAGAAAATAAAACATGCTCCTTGATTCTAGTGTACTTTACACACACAAGGGAAGCAACTCTGTAGAAGTAACTGTAAAGTACAAATTTTCAGAGAAAACAAAGGAATTTCAACAAAGAAAACATCAAAGTAACTTAAAAAATGATTTTATTAAATCTATCAAGTGTATTAAAGACATAAATACACGTCATAGACGATCGGAAAGTAACAATTGGACCTGAAATGAATAATGCCCTCGGACTGAAGCCCTCGAGGCCATTATTCATTTTGCGGGTGGATTATCACCTGCCTGCCCTACTCTGCCGTGTATTAATCTTCATAAGTAAATATGTAAGTCATAAGGAGAAATGTATATGGAAAAACTTTTGTTACATTTAGAATCAAGGTATTTTTGTTATGAAATTAATTTCTGCTATATAATTGTCAGTTACTTACAGATCACATTAAAGTCACATGGTATAGGCACCATGAAATATAAGATGTCATAAATTTGTTATGTTTTAGCATAAATACAGAACAAGTGAATGATGAAATATCAAATTTAAAAGTTATCTCAAATAATTTTGCATGCATGAAGACATATCATTAACAAACATAATCATTTGACTTGTTGAAATATTAGTTACAAAATAGTGATAGAAATAAATGATGCGGAAATATTCTAAAAGATAATTTATTTCCTTTTAAGTTTAAATATACATTCAGCGCAATAGAAAAGAGATGTCAATTTCACGTCAGTCATGTGACCCGATATATCTTGGTCGATGATTATCGAGAAGTTAATAAATTTGTCTGGTAATAGACAGTCATTTGAATATTGTTAAATGAAATAAGGAGGTTTTAAAACTTAATTACAAAAAGTTTTATACATTTTAATATATATTTAGAATGATTTTCCCGAAACATCTTTCTGCTATAATTATACAAATTGCCCAGTCCCTGGAAAACTAAATGACAACAGACTCCATGTGTTCCTAGTGTTTGAGGGATCTAGTTTCATCTATAATGTTTTTGTCTAAGCTCTCCCTGTGTGATTTCTGTGCTGAATAATTGATATAGCACCATGAATGGTAGCAGGGAAATATATGTGAGGACACACTATACCAGTAGATTATATAAATTTTCTAGACATAACATAAAACTCTAAATGGTAATGGCTTGCTTTTTGTAGTCAGTGGCATTTCAGTTTTCCATAAAGGCTGTTGTAATGTCCACGTGGACTGGGTACATTTAGCGCTAAGTAGTGATTAACAAAATGTACTTGGCCAGGATAATGACTGCCTTTTAGTATAATAGAGAGACATGGCAGCATACACTCTGTAATTGTATCTAGTTTCTTCGTCTCCTATCTGACAACTAGCCATGTTTATATCATGTATTCACATTATTACATTTGATTCCATTTGATTTACTGGTGATGAATTCTGAAAGGAAAAAAAATGTCTCTGGATGCAGTGCTGCAGTAAATCATTACACACTGTAGAATCATTAGGTAGAAAATGGATTTTCTTAAGTTTTATTGGAGTATTTTATTGCAGGAATAAAAGCTGTAGTAATGTTATATGATTGAGTGGAAGCAGCATGCAAAATTGTAATCAGTTTAACCAGGGAGGAAGAAATCAGGCACCCCCTGCCAATGGAATACATTCTTCTTTTTAACCAATTGGAGATTTCTTCACAGGGGTGTATTGAAGGCATTCTTCTATTATTCAAATTAAAGTTTGTATCCATTTGGGAATACTGAAGCTTGACAAATAAGACCTTGGAAGATTTTTCCACCTTTGCTATTTCAAAGAAAAGATTAAAGGTTTAGGAAATATGCTTTAAAAGTGGCTACACTTCTCAATAATGTACAAGTCATGTAGCTGTAATTTTGAGCGGGGCTTTTGTGACTTTTAAAACTTGATTAAATGCTACAGAAATGATATTAAATGAATTTGATAGACCATTAGACGTGTAATTCAATGGTTGGAGACATTTTCATTTGCTATAAACTTGGAAATTGATTTTACCAAGTGAAGTGAGAACTTGTATACTTATATAATTGAAATAGGTACGTTGTTTCCTGCAATTTATTTAGATGGAGCATTTGTATTCAGTATGATATTAACCCTATCCATGCTGAATTTGTATAATGAATTTGCCCTGCTTTAAATTTGGAACAATCCATTTAATGTTTAAGGTATTTTGGGTATCAAAATAGTGATTTGAAAATAGAGCTACCAACAATAAGCAAGGTCAGACTGTTTGGATGTGTGGGCAGAACTTGCTCTATATACAGGCAAAGGCTTAAATCACTTTCAGTTCCAGCAAGCTAAGGGTCAAGGTCAGTTTGTAACAGAAAGTTTAGAATTAAATTAACACAAAGGAGCATTTGAGTGTCATGGTAGATTTCCTGGAGATTACTAATCATAATTAACCTACTTTAGATAGTAATGAACTTGAACTGCTGACAATAATGAATTGTCTGTTGTTAATTTCTGGAATATTTCTATGTGTTTGATATTTTACTATATGTTGTCATCTAAGATTGTACACAGTAACATTTTTGTGTTGGTGTTATTGTTGTAGTTATTATAATTTTATAGGAACATTTCTGTGGGTTGCCATTTACAATATATTTGAATAATATATGGGAATGTTTTGTATTATATCTTTGTTTTAGTGTCAATGATTTATATTTTCAGATATTTTCTGGGGACAAATTGACAGAAGTATAGAACAATCATGTGTGGTTGTTGTGGAGGTGGAGATGAGGTAAAACTTTCATCAATTATGCTGTTTTATACCCTTTCTTAGCTGTTTTGTCAACATGACAAGTTTCACAGTCAAACAAAACTTATTTACATGAAAGTATATGGTTGTTAGGATGATAGGAAAGTATATTAGTAAACAAAGTATAAGAATAAGAGCAAAGTGTGTGTTTGTTAGGATAAGAGCTAAGTATGTGGTTGTTAGGATAAGAGCCAATAAATTGTGGTTGTTAGGATGAGAGCAAAGTAATTGTGGTTGTTAGAATAAGAGCAAAGTATGTAGTTGTATGGAAAGAGCAAAGTATGTGGTTGTTAGGATAAGAGCAAAGTATGTGTTTGTTAGGATAAGAGCAAAGTATGTGTTTGTTAGGATAAGAACAAAGTGTGTGGTTGTTAGAATAAGAGCAAAATATTTGGTTGTTAGGATAAGGGCAAAGTATGTGGTTGTTAGGATAAGAGCAAAGTTTGTGGTTGTTAGGATAAGAGCAAAGTTTGTGGTTGTTAGGATAAGAGCAAAGTTTGTGGTTGTTAGGATAAGAGCAAAGTATATGGTTGTTAGGATAAGAGCAAAGTTTGTGGTTGTTAGGAAAAAAAGCAAAGTTTGTGATTGTTAGGATAAGAGCAAATTATGTGGCTGTTAGGATAAGAGCAGAGTTTGTGGTTTTAGGATAAGAGCAGAGTTTGTGGTTGTTAGGATAAGAGGAAAGTATGTGGTTGTTAGGATAAGGGCAAAGTATGTTGTTGTTAGGATAAAAGCAAAGTATTTGGTTGTTAGGATAAGAGCAAAGTATGTGGTTGTTAGGATAAGAGCAAAGTAATTGTGGTTGTTATGATAAAAGTAAAATATGTGTTTGTTAGGATAAGAGCAAAGTATGTGGTCGTTAGAATAAGAGCAAAGTATATGGTTGTTAGGATAAGAGCAAAGTTTGTGGTTGTTAGGATAAAAGCAAACTTTGTGGTTGTGAGGATGAGAGCAAAGTATGTGGTTTTAGGATAAGATCAAAGTATGTTGTTGTTAGGATAAGAGCAAAGTTTGTGGTTGTTAGGAGAAAAGCAAAGTTTGTGGTTGTTAGGATAAGAGCAAATTATGTTGCTGTTAGGATAAGAGCAGAGTTTGTGGTTTTAGGATAAGAGCAGAGTTTGTGGTTTTAGGATAAAAGCAAAGTTTGTGGCTGTTAGGATAAAAGGAAAGTATGTGGTTGTTAGGATAAGGGCAAAGTATGTAGTTGTTAGGATAAAAGCAAAGTATTTGGTTGTTAGGATAAGAGCAAAGTATGTGGTTATTAGGATAAGAGCAAAGTAATTGTGGTTGTTATGATAAAAGTAAAATATGTGTTTGTTAGGATAAGAGCAAAGTATGTGGTCGTTAGAATAGTTAGAATAAGAGCAAAGTATATGGTTGTTAGGATAAGAGCAAAGTATGTGGTTGTTAGGATAAAAGCAAACTTTGTGGTTGTGAGGATGAGAGCAAAGAATGTGGTTTTAGGATAAGATCAAAGTATGTTGTTAGGATAAGAGCAAAGTATGTGGTTGTTAGGATAAGAGCAAAGTATGTGGTTGTTAGGATAAGAGCAATTAAATGGTTGATAGGATAAAAGCAAAGTTTGTGGTTGTTGGGATAAAAGCAAACTTTGTGGTTGTGAGGATGAGAGCAAAGTATGTGGTTTTAGGATATGAGCAAAGTATGTTGTTGTTAGGATAAGAACAAAGTATGTGTTTGTTAGGATAAGAGCAAGGTTTGTGGTTGTAAGGATAAAAGCAAAGTATTAACATAGTAAGAGAGTAAAGTATGTGTCTGTTAGGGTAAGAGAAAAATATAAACATTGCATGTGGCAAAAAAATGTGTAAACATAGTACTTGGTTTTAATTATTTTGTATGCAAATCTCTTAAAGTACAAATTAAAAGTGTGACAAGTGTAAACATAAAGAGTTAAGTTACTTTAAAACTGTGCTATATTTATTTTTTATAGCATGATTGATGAATTTTAGTTTATCTAACCAATGATTTATGATCCTGAAGATGTTTTAATGTATCTATTAATGTTGAAATGAAAAGTGTCATAAGTAACACTCATATGCAAACACTTTGATGTTCAGATTTTGTCACAATCCATTAAAGGCAGTCAAAGTTGTAATTACTCTATACACATATAAAAACACACTGACATTTAACAATAAAGTAACTAAAATATTTAATTTTGAAAAAGGCTTGTTTGGTGAATATTCAACATTTTTGGCCAAGCTGTACGATTTATAATGTAAAATAGTTGACCATGCAAACACCCATCCTATATAGCTAACATGGGACTCTTAACTGACCAAATAGACCAAATATTTATCTAAAGAACTTATGTTTAGTATCAAGACTGAGATTAAATGAGTACTGTTGAAACAAATGAACATTATTTTGATGATAATCTAATTATTTTACCTGATTAATGTTTATCAATTATGTTTGAGGAGAATATGAACATCTAGACAGAGTGATTTCTGTAAAAGGGACATTAGGGTAACATTTGATAGCTTTGTTCTGTATATTAAAGTACACAAGATAAAGATTAATATATTATTGTATATTGTATATATTGCATATAATTATGTATGTATAATGCATATATATTGTATGATGCATTATGAAATCATTACATTAGTGACTTATAGGCCTGTCGGGCTGGGTGCTATAATTGTACACATATATAATTGTTATTTGTATTTGACTATGCACATATCACAATAATAAACATTTTACTTTACTTACGTACTTATATTTCTAGAATGAAGATAGAGTGGATTTACAGCATCCGGTGAAGAATCGAGGATGTACAGATCTACTTGTTCTCATCTTGTTTGTCTTGTTCTGGGCTGGCATGGTAAGGATATTTTCACCATTTTATATGTCTGACAATTACATCAGTTAGAGTCTCTCTGTTGCTTGTAATAATTGTTTCATTGTGAGAATGCTTTAATCTGATTACACCTGTGCAAAAAATGAGGCATTCACAATCTTGAGCTCTATCTTGAAATGTTTGAAAAGACTTGTCAAATGTTTTTGTTTTGACACATAGCAGAAAAAAAAACTACTTTTTTCAAAAAAGCTATCAAGAAAAAAAAACTCGAAACTTCAGAATAGATCAAATCAAACAACATAGAGTGAAAGTATCTCAATGTAGATATATCAGTTTTATAATACTTGTAAAAGAAAAATAACTGTATTTTTATTGACTTATAGTTCTTATCTTGAATTTTTACATGATAAAAGTGCAATAAACAAATACTATCAACCCAATAAACATTGCATCAACTTTTTGTTTCCTCTGCCAGAACTTTACAAGATTTCTAATTTAGCATGGCCAGTTTTTAAAGACAATCAGATATTGTATTGGTCGGTTGTAAAAGGTTGTATGGTTGATTTTACTCTGGTGCTGGCTCCTGGTTAAAATAATGCTCAAAACATACACCTAAAGTCTTCCTACACCAGCAAGTTGCCACATGACATTTATCAGTGGCAAAGTGAATTAAAACACTACAAAATAACAAACAAATTTTCCACAAATTGAGCAGGTCTCATTTGCTACAGTATATACAAAACTATAGTGTTAGAACTTAGAATACTGTATTATTCTCAGTACAAATGTATATAACATCACTCGTAGATAAGAGTCTCTATAATAAATCTCTCCTCCTAGCTGATAATATCATTTTTATTTACTGAAGTGAAATATACAAGTTAACTAAATAGTCTCTCATCTTATACAGGTAATTGACAAACAAGAAATTCCTGGCAAATTGGCAACATACATACATGTTTTCTTATGTTATATACCAAGATAAACATACATTTACTGAAACTGTGGGCAGAATTTAATCTGAGTTTATTTTGTGAAAAGAAAAAGACAACATATTAACAATTGCATTCATAGACAGAATGTTCTGATCATTGATGAGATTTAAACAATTAGATAAAAAAATTATCTACCATATAACCAATATTCATGGCTTTAAGTAATAAGACCCTTTACATCAACCTATACGGGAATTGTGACTTTTATTAGAATAATCATTTATATCCCCTTGAGTGACTTTGAATGAAATATAAAGAATGAATAATAAACAAAAAATGTATAGTGTTATGTGTTTAAGCCCTCACTAAATCAGTCTCAAAAATGAAAACAAAAATGTCAAAGACAAAAATCAAAATTCCTATGTGCATCAAGTTTTTGTTACTAATGAGGAAATAAATCTAGAACACAAAAATAAGATCACAAATCAGCAATTTAGTTGATTAATCCCTTGTGAATATCTTCCTTAACTTTTGTTGTTAAACTTTCTGTATTTTCATGAATCAATAGAGGATACTAAAGTCAAAAGTAAATCCGCCCTGCAACTTTTAAAGCAGCATGCCTCCAGATTTGTGCTAATTTTCATGATAATTTGTAAAATATATTTAAAAATAAAATATTGATGAGTAAACAAAGGAAGTAATTTAAACATTGCAAGTCACTTAAATTCTATGAAAATTACCAAAAGATAGGTCAGAATATGTTGAAATAGCCCTAAATACTGCATTAGTTGCTCAGTAGAAATATGGTGTAAATACCACAAAATCTGTCATTAATTGTATGTAACATGTAACTTATTTCTTGAATTGCGAATATTTTTACTTTTCTTAAAATCTTAGTACAATTTCCTCAAGGTTGATTTTTTTGAAGCATTAAGGCTCATCTGGAGACATACAGATTTAATGCTATAAGGTTAGAATGTTTGAGACATAGGTGTATTTGAAAAAATATTTGTCAATACCTCTTTCAGACCAACTAGACTGAAGAGTTTAGATAATTGATTAGGTGGCTCGGTGATAGATTTTTTGTTTTGTTCTATTTTAGATATTTATAGCTGCATTTGGTATCATACATGGTGATGCATTCAGGCTTGTGTACGGCTATGACAGCTTTGGTAACACATGTGACGCTGATAATTCTGACAGGAAAATTGAAAATGTGACATTATCTGGCAGGAATATGAAGGGACGGCGGTAGGTTAACATGTACAATCATATGATTTAGTTTTCCTTAAAGAAACATATCTACAACTAAATGCAAAACTAATATAGCTCACACAATTTTTTTTGTACTTACCTTTTTTTACACAAAGGCTTTTTAATGCTAAAAATAGATCTTAAGAATATTGCATGACATGGTTTTAAAATTCCAATAAGCAATAAACCTAATAAACAATAAAGTTAAACTATAGCTATAATTCCTTTGCTACCCTAAAATTTAATTGAGCAGATCTTTTAATTGAAACTTAATACTTAGAAAAATGTAAACACATAAAATGTTGATCAAATGGTCATTTGTTTTTAGCCCTTAGGTTTTCTTTCTTACATCAAAAATGTTAGACAAAAACTGTGAGATACGCTTGAATTACAGAATGTAGGAGCTACTAGAGTATATAATATTTATTGTTTTATTAGCATATGTAGCCATATCTTTTGATATTTCTGAAAAAATCTGATTAAAGCTCTATACTTTAAACATTTTTTGTCGCATAGCAACCTATAATTAAATGATTTAATTTAGCTAATCATATTTATATAATATCTATGCAACTGAATATAATTAAATCATGATAAAAATGGAGAAAAAAGATGATAACATAAATAAGATAAAGAGGGGAATAGTTAAATATAAAAAGTACTGATGTAAACACGGTATTATATATTATTATGATGTCGCCCAGCACATATATCTACTGTGTGTTCTGCAAGTTACGTTCCTGCAAAAAGAAAATCAAAAATTGTCATAGCTTTATTTCTACATGTTCTTAATTGTCATTGTTATATGAACAAAAACAACTTCAAGGTCACATACAAAGATCAAGGTCACATACAAAGGTCAAGATCAGATAATGTAATGAAAATATGTATTTGACTTACTGAGTCAAATGTGACAGGCTTATTTTGAGACAAGGACACTCTTCTTTCATGTAAATGACCTCCCATGTAATAAGATAATTAGCATAAACAGTGTAACAAGTTAACCTGTATTTGGTATGAATCTCTAGTGATGTAAACAATTAGAAATTGTTGCTGGTGAACATCTACATGATGTTATTATAGTTGTCAGAAGAATTATTTTGATACATCTATTATTTAACTTTACAGGTATGTTTTCTTCATGGATGTACAAGATCCATTCAGATCAAAATGTATATGTGTAAATAGATGTCCAGAGAAAAAGCTGGACAACATAGAGGATGTAAAGTTGTTTAGTACAACAACCGGCTCTGAACTCTGTGAATACGGTATCAAACCAGATGATTATCCTTCCCAGAGAAGATCAAAGAAAGGACCATGTCCTGTTACACCTGTGCTAGCAAGGTATAATTCTTTTCTCAATTTGTTTAAGCCTCTAATGTCATTGCTAATTAATTAATAACTTTAATTTTAAAATACCATAAGGTTATGCTGCACTGTGCTTAGTTCTAGCTTTGATATTATAATCATGTATATTCTAAATGAATTAGGATAATTATATACTTTTTGATCAGGATCAATGAACTTTAAAGATTTTGATTTCTGCAAAGTTATACAATTTACGATCTTTTCTTTCTATCAAAGACAATGTCAATGTAAATGTAGTAATACAATGGCACATTAATGATCATAGTTTCGGAGTTATGCCCCATTTTAACCTTGAATTTTTACCTACACATGTGGTGCTCTTGTTTTTACAAAAACAAAATCTGTATTAGTCCCTAAGCTAATAGACATCAAACTATTCCCTCAAAATGACGGACATTCTGTTCCTAGAGTAGAGTTTCAACAAATAATTCACACAAATTATTAACCAAATTGGCCAGTTGTGATGGTAATCATGATGTTATTTTGCTGGACCTATCTAAATGATTATTTAAATACTTTTATTTCAATAAAGAAGCTAAAAAATTAAATCCATGACGAAGGAATAAATTGTAACTTCTATCTAATAAATCATGTAAGATTGAAAGTATTTATTTCAAACATTGAAATTTTACGTCTCATTATTAATAATAATTGAAGAATTATGATTTATTGCTATGAATAATTTATTGTTTATAAATTGCAGATGAGGAATTCAGATTCTGGTTATAATTTTCACAAATGCAGTCACAAAAAATAAATGAAATATTATAATTTTAATGTTATATAATAATGATGATTTTATGTATTTAAAGTAATTAAGTATTGTAATATAGAACAGGCATTCTTGGATTAGAAGAAATATTTTGATGTTCAATATAATGTATAAATCTTGTTTGTATTTGAGGGATATCATCTTTGTCCATATAACAGAAATAGAGATCTGAAATGCTAATTTACAAGAGGAAAAGATAAAAAGTAAACTTTCAAAAATGATATATGCATGTCAAAAATTATATAGAATACTTATGTAGATTAAGAAAGTCAGCTGTTTAAATTTGGTTTCTTTTTATGCACCTGGGCATATAGTAATTGAACCGTCCGTCCGTCTGTCTGTCCGAGCAAACATTTTGGGTTTAGGGGCTATATAACAGTAAAGAGAACAAAAGAGAACAATAGGTTCATTCCGTGATTGATCAAAGGGTTTATGGGCTAGTAGCCCTTAAGAAAACAAAGAAAATAACAAAGAAAATAGCCCCTAAACCAAAAATGTTGGCTCGTCCGTCCGTCCGTCTGTCCATCTGTCCTAGAACGGCAACGTTGGATTTTTCTTAAGTTCTACCTGTACCAATGGCTTCATAATTTACACACTAACTAATCCATACAAAGTTAATGATCTGGGCAAGTTACATAACTATGGCTTCTATTTGCACCAAGTTATGGCCCTTTTCAGCACTTAGAAAATGAATAATGGTTAACCTAAACCGGCAAGTTGGAAATATCTTATGTTCTATCTGAACTAATGGCTTAATAATTTTTACACTTACTTATCAATACAATGTACATGATATTGCCAAGTTATATAAATGTGCCATCCATTTTCCCAGTAATTTCCCTTTTTATCACTTTGAAAATAGGGTCTTGTATGGTTAACTTATTCCGCCAAGTTGGATTTATCAAAAAATTTCACCTAATTACTTAATTTATTTAATGATATCTTTCATATTTGGTAGGTGGATACCTTTAACGGTCCTCTAATTTTTTGTGGAGTTAGGCGTCTCTAGGTCAAGGTCAAAGTCACTTGTGTAAAAAAATAAATCTAAACATTTCTGCTCATACAGCCTTTATTTTTAAGTTAATGTCTTTCATGTTTATAATAGTCATACCAAGGGAGGTCCTCTTCCTTTTCCTTTAGTAAGGGGTCATTTGGGTCAAGGTCACCAATGTCAAAAATAGATTTTTTTACACTTTTACAGGTGTATTAACCTTATTCTATCGACAGATGTCTTGTATATTTTGTAGGAACATAAAATTGAGGTATTCTCATTTGGATGGAGGTAGGGGTCAGTTGGGTCAAGGTCACCAGTGCTAAAAATAGATTTTTACACTTTTGCTCATACAGCCTTTATTTATTGACAGATTTGTATTATAATTGGTAGGAAGATAACTTACATTGTATTCTTCCTTTGGATGGAGTTAGGGGTCAGTTGGGTCAAGGTCAACAGTGCTAAAAATAGATTTTTACACTTTTGCCCATACAGCCTTTATATATTGACAGATTTATTTCATATTTGGTAGGAAAATAAGTTGCATGATATTCTTCCTTTGGATGGAGTTAGGGGTCAGTTGGGTCAAGGTCACCAGTGCTAAAAATAGATTTTTTACACTTTTGCCCATTTTAAATATTGTTACTGACAAGAATCTGAGCCTGGGGCATTTGTGTTTAACAAACATGTTCTTGTTTTTATATAATTATTAAGATGGAAATATAATTATGAAGAATTAAAATGTTTATTCAGTAAACAATAACCTCCCAGAATGCTATTAGGGACTAGACTTGTGCCCTTTGTCACTTTATAGAGCCAAGCTAGTCTACATATACATAAAGTTTGTCCAGATTTTATAGTCCTGGACATTGATTTTATAGTCCTGGACATTGATGGCTTGGCTGATTAATTGCATTACATGTAGTTTGATATTGAAGTCCCATGTATTAATGAGGGACTGATCCAACTTAAAGCAAGGCATTAAAAGTCCAGTCATTATACAGTTTTTAATTAAATGATTAAAAAAGTTAATTAGACCAATAATGATATTATTATAATATTCCTGTATATAACCGTCATGTAAGTATCGTGAGGTACTTTGATACACATGAGATGTAGATGGTGCCATGTTTTATTAGTATGTAATCTATATAAAATCTGTGTTCTGTCTGCACCTCTGTCACCATATACTGTAATTAGAGAGGAAATTCTGTCTACAGATGCTGTTAAATGTCACCCCAGATAATATATTCTAGTCACTGGTAGCACGTGTAAATCTCAATATACAACCTACCAGTATAATATACTTCCTAATGAAATATTCTCCCCATAGTAGTCCTTCCCTATTACTTATATTGTCCTGAATGAAGGCAGATATTTTCTACAGTGAAATTTAAAGAGACGGGCTGCAGCTCCTGTGTTTATTATTGTTTGAACAATGACATTAAAGTGGTATTTTAGATGTATCGGTGATGCATCTAAAATACCACTTTAATGTCATTGTTCAAACAGTAATAAACACATGAGCCTGACATGATGTGCTATATTTGTACTTTACTTCACTTTATGAGCTGCAGCCTGTCTCTTTATATTTCACTGAAATGTCACACTAACTGCAAACTAACTTTAGATTGAGAAATTTAAGTAATTAGTCTTAAAGTTTTAACTCTATATAAGAAAATGCTTTTTATGCCACCACAGCATCTGCGATGCGGTGGCATATAGCGATTCACCTGTTTGTGTGTGTGTGTGTTTGTTTGTGTGTGTGTGTGTGTTATATAGATTATATAGTGAACTTAAAAAAATCTTCTTGTGAAAAACCACTTGTCCAATTTCAACCAAACTTGGCATGATTGATCCTTGGGTGAAGGGCTTCCAAAGTTGTTCAAAGAATTTCATTCCATGCAGAAATCTGGTTGCCATGGCAACCAAAAGGAATTATAAGAATAAATTTAAAAAATCTTCTTGTAAAGACCCAGAAGGCCTAGAGCTTAGATATTTTGCATAAGGCATTGTCTGGTAGACCTCTACCAAGATTGTTCAAATTATAGCCCTGGGGTCAAAAAATCGCCCCACCCTGGGGTCATTGATTTTCACTATATGTACATATAGTAAAACTTAAAATACCTTCTTGTAAAGACCCAAAAGGCCCAGAGCTTAGATATTTTGCATAAGGCATTGTCCTTGTAGACCCTTACCAAGAGTGTTCAAATTATAGCCCTGGGGTCAAAATCGGCCCCGCCCGGGGGGTTATTGAATTTAACTATATGTACATATAGGAAAAAACTTAAAATACCTTCTTGTAAAAACCCAAAAGGCCTAGAGCTTTGATATTTTGCATAAAGGCATTGTGTAGTGAACCTCTAGCAAGATTGTTCCAAATTATAGCTTTGGGGTCAAAAATCGGCCCGCCCCTGGGGTCATTGGTTTTCTTTATATGTATATTGTAAAAACTTTATCAGTAAAAAACTTTAAAAACATTTCTTCTAGCAATTGACAATGCTAGAGGTTAGATATTTTGCATGAAACATTGTTGTAGTGAACCTCTAGCAAGATTGTTCAAATTATAGCCCTGGGGTCAAAATTGGCCCCACCCCAAGGGTCGTTGATTTTCACTATGTACATATAGTAAAAATTAAAAAAATCTTCTTGTCTGAAGGTACAAGGCTTAGAGCTTTGATATTTGCGTATATAGTATCATCCATGGGTCCTCTACTAAAAGTTGTTTTAATTATGTCCCTAGTTTAAAAAAATTGCCCTGCCCTAGAGGCGATAGTTTTCCTTAAATGTATACAGTAAAAAACTTGAAAAACCTTCTTCTCTGAATTGACAAAGCTAGAGGTTAAATTTATGGCATGAGACTTTGGGAATGAACCTCTACTAAGATTGTTCAAATTATAGCCCTGGGTCAAAAAGATTGGGTCCGCCCCGGTTCATTGATTTTCATAATGTACATATAGTAAAAAAAAAAAAAATAAAAGCTATTTTTGTCTGAAGGTACAAGGCATAGAGCTATGATGTTTGCTATATAATATTCATCTGTAGGTCCTCTACCAAAGTTGTTTCAAATTTTTCCCCTGGTGTCAAAATCAGGCCCCTGCCTGGGGGGCAGTGATTTTCATTAAGAACACATAATAAAAACAGAAACTAAAACAAAATGTTTTCTGAATGGAGAAGCTACAGCTTAGATATTTGACTTGAAATGTTGTTTAG